GTGTTGTTCCCCATCAGCCTCTCCGCCATCAATAATCCTTCCCACTCCCCTGGTTAAATAAACCAGAGAGGCCTGTAATCCCAGCACTGTGGGAGGCTGAAGCAGGAGGATCACTTGAGGCCTACTTGGGCAACACAGCAAGACCCCCATCTCTATCAGAAAAATTAAAAATGAGCCGAGTGTGGTGGTGCACACCTGTAGTCTCAGTTACTCAGGAAGTCAAGGAAGTAAAAATGGGGAGTCCTGAGAACAGTAAGACTCCACCTCCTGGAAGTCAAGTAGGGATCCCAAGAATAGTGAGCCAATGGAGAGGATCTGGTTTGTTTTTTGGTTAAATTTGAAATTTTAACCAAAAACCCCCAGGAGTTTGAGACTACAATGAGCTATGATTTTATCCTGGCACTCTAGCCCAGGTAACAGAGTGAAAAAAAACCCAAAATGTAGATCATGCAGTGGTTTCTTGATCATGACCACATTCCAGGTCAGGAGCCACTCTCCCTCACCAGTATAATGAGATTTCTGTGAGGTATGACACCTTGGCACTCTACCAAGGGCAACAAAATGAGACTTTGTCTCAAAAAAAAGACCACAAGAAATACTCTGAAACCTGAGCATGACAATAATGGGATAAGAATTCCTGGTTTGGGGCCCTTTCCCATGACAGGCACGGTTTTTCCTACCTACTCATTGTCAGACCCTTACACTCTAAAACCCATTTCACAGATGGGCAAGTAGAGTCTTGGGTTGATTAAAAGGGGCCCAAAGAGACTACCCTGGAACCACCACAAGGTGACAGCACTGGCCTTATTTCCATCTCCTGGAGGACTTTGTAGCATTCTGGTGCCCTCTAGTGGTTGTGGAAAACATGCCCAAGGGGTCTGCCGAGAAACGTTTGGGAAAACTGAGGCAGGGTGGTCACCTCTTGAGGGAGGGATATCTGGGAGAAGCAGCTGGGCCCAGGTGGTGTCCCATGGTGCCCTTAGGCATCCAATTACAGGAAAGAGGTCAGCCTGGCACCGGCCTTGGACTTTTCATCAAAGTAGAGGAGAGCACAGACTCCTCTCTACCTGCAGCCACAGCCCCAGGGAAGAAGCCTGCCTCAGGACTCAGGCCCCTGTTCCCTCTGTGGCTCAGCCACCAACCACATCTCCTTCTACAAAAGGGGAGACAGAAAGAACATTATCTCTGAGTCTGTGAAGATGTGGAAAGGGGAAATGTCTGGTGCTTGGCCCTCCCTAAGAAAGACCAGAGCCTCGGGGCAAGACAGGGGTTAGGAGCAGAAAGAGCAGGAGGCACAGGGCAGCCTCCAGGGGTGGGGCCCTACCTGGAAAGTGGACATCTCATCACAAGCTGGGCACATTATATGCTCCGTTTGGGGAATTTGGAACTGAGACAGAGATAAGTGACTCAGCATCCTTGTGCATCTGGGCAGAGTCTGAGGAGGCAGGAAAAGTGAGAAGTGGGGAGCCTAGATGGAGGGTGGAAAGATGGAAAGATACAGGGATACAAGGATGGAGGGATACAGGAATATAAGAATGAAGGGATACAGGGATAGGGATGGAGGGATACAGAGATACAGGGATGGAAAGATACAGGGATGTTGGATACAGGGATGAAGGGATACAGAGATGGAGAGATACAGGGATGGTGGGATACAGGGATGGAGACATACAGAGATACAAGGATGGATGGAGGCTTGGTGCCTGTAGCTCAGCAGTTAGGGCACCAGCCACATACACTGCAGCCGGCAGGTTTGAATCCAGCCAGGCCTGCCAAATGGCAATGACAACTACAACCAGAAAATGGCCAGGCATTTTTGTGGATGCCTGTGGTCCCAGATACTTGGGAAGTTGAGGCAAGAGAATCACTTAAGCCAAAGAATTTGGGGTTGCTGAGAGCCATGACGCCATAGCACTTTACCCAAGGCAACAGCTGGAGACTCTGTCTCAAAAAAAAAAAAAAAGAAAAGAAAAAAAGAAAGGATGGAGGGATGGAGGGATGGGAAATACAGGGATACAGGGATGGAGGGACACAGAGATATAGGGATGGAGGGATACAGGAATGGAGAGATACACAGATAGGGATACAGGGTTGGAGGGACACAGATACAAGGATGGAGGGATACAGGAAAGGAGGGATACAGAGATAGGGATACAGGGATGGAGGGATACAGAGATAGGGATACAGGGATGGAAGGATACAGAGATACAAGGATGGAGG